ACCAAGAGGGAAGCTGGTATGGTTGCACAGACCTGTAATCCCAGCTACTTGGGAGGCTGAGGCAGGAGGATTCCAAGTTCAAGGCCAGCCAGGGACTCTGTCTCAAAATAAAATATAGAAAGGGCTGGGGGATGCACCTCAATGGTAGAATACTTCCCTTGCACGCACAAGGCCCAGGACTCAACCCCCAATACTGCAGAAAAGAGGGGAAAAATCAAGAAGGAAGCACTTGGTGGTCACCTCAGGGGGTGAGCCCAAGCGGTCGATCCTCCAGGTAACATGGGGAGCAAGAGAACATCTTTCAGCACAGGTTTCCTCACCTGATTTCTCAGAAGCCAGAGCAACAACACAGATGCCATTTCATAAGGGACCTTCTTTCTGGCGCCCCAAGGAGCACCACGTAATACCTGCAGCACCATTACAAGCACCTTCCTGTGTGCAGGGCAAGCCTAGGCAATCTCTCTGGAAACCGGCTTTCTTTTTCTTTCTTCCCTCCCTTTGCCTCTTTTACAAGTTGGATGACATCCTGTACATCTAGCTGGGATCACAGCATTGAAAGGCAAGCGGTCTCAGACCTAGCAGGAGGCTGAGGTATTTGAGTGGCTGCCTGTGCTTTTGAGCAGGGTCCAGTCCCCTTGTCTAGGAAGGCTGGAGAACCAAGGCTGTCATTGGTCTGATCTTCAGAAGCATCCTTCAAGAAGACACAATCCAAATCACTGGGTGGGAGACTTCCGGGGTAGAGTGAAAAATAAGATCTTACTCACTTTTAAGAAGCTCATAACCTGGCACAGTGCCCCATGTCTGTAATCCCAGCTACTCAAAAAGCTGAGGCAGGAGGATCTGAAGTTGAAGAACAGCCTGGGCAATTTAGTGAAACCTTGTCTCAAAATAAAATAGAAAGAGGCTGGGCATGTGGCTCAGTGCTCCCTGGGTGTATGTTAAAGGTGTTATCTATTCTCGTGAAGCTCATCCCAGGATTGTCAGCAGAAGAGTCCAAGAAGGAGACAGATCTAGAAACAGGAAGGGTCAGGGCAGGTGTTAGAGGGCAGGTGGAATCTGACCTGGGCCTTTGAGAAAAAAGGCTTGCCCTTATTATTTGCTAAAAAAAAAATAATACGTGACACTTTATTTTTTACATCCAACATGACACAGAGACAAAGCATCAAAAGAGCAAATGTCAGGGCCTGGGATGCAGTTTGGTGGTACATCACATGCTTCGCATGTGTGAGGCCCTGGATTGGACCCCAATATCACAAGAAAAGAAGGAGAGCAAATGTCCTATGATCCCTCATTACGGAGAGAGCTATGGTTCAAGTTGGTGTTCATATCTAAACATAATGCATACATCACATCCTTTTATAAAACCAGATTACACTACGCACACTGCTTTACAACATGCATTGTCTCGCTGACAGTGTGAGCACGCCATCTTTCTTGTTTTGTTTTTGTTTTGAGACGGGATCTCGATATGTAGTTCTGGCTGACCTGGAACTCCCTATGTAGCCCAGGCTGGCAGTCCTCCTGCCTCGGCCTCCCAAATGCTGGGATTACACACGTATGCCACCACACCCAGCAAGCTCATCACCTTTCTGCAGCAGACATACACCTCTAGCTGGAGTTACATGGTGTAGAATGTTCCATGTTCATATCATTCTCCTTTTGGTGGACATTTGAGGTGTGTCCATTCTTTTGCTGTTACAGTACCACAAAAAACAATCATAGATATCTTCTGGGTATTGTTCTAATGTTTTGGTAAATTCTAAACCTACAGAATTTAGAATTGTTGAGTCAGTAGGTGGATGGTCAAATGGCTCCTGGAGAAACAGCCATATTGCCTTTGACTCACAGTCTTATGGGAGCAAGCCAAAGTTTGAGGAGGAGTGAGATCAAAGAGTCAGTGGCAGATGGGGCCAGGGCAGGGAGTCCCGGGCATACCCAAAGGTCAGTAGAAGGGGAAAGCCTGGAATGGCAAGTCAAGGAATTCGGGCTTTATTCGGTGGGTAACACAGGGCTTCCAAAGCAGAGGTCACTATTTGTGACCTGACCAGAGAAATTGGTCCTCATGGGGATGGTGAGACCAGGCTCCAGGAAACCACAAAGTTTAGGACCTCTGAGTTTGTCAGCCTGCTCTTCTCTCTCATTTGCTTCTCTCTTTCATGAACAGATTCCCCTCGTCCATCCTGATGGTGGTAATGCAATGTTTTGGTAGCCAATAAAAACATTAGAGATAAAGGGGCATTAAGTGAGAGTCCAGTTTTCAACAGCTTTGCTGCTATTTTTTGAGACAGGGTCTCGATATGTGGTTCAGGTTGACCTTGAACTCACAGTGCTCCTCCCGTGTCAACTTCCAAGTGCTGGGATTACAGGCGGGTACCACTACACCCAGCCGTGGGGCCGCATCATTTTTAGAAGGTCAACTGGGAGGCTGAGGAGGACATAGCTTAGTGGTAGAAAGCTTGCCTAGCCTGTATGAGGCCCTGGGTCCAATTCCCAACACCTCTCCAGGAAAGGCGAGAAGAGAAAAGAGGAAGGGAGAGGAGGGGAGGGCTTGACAGCTCACTTCTCAGGAATCACATAGCTATTCACTTTCAGGCCTCACTCCTCCCAAATCAGAGGAAGCCAGGACACTAAATCCTGCTGTAGTACCTTGCCTCAGGCTGGTTTTTAAATCCACTACCTCTGTTTTGGTCTAATAATGTAGAGCTACTGCAAGATTTTGAGCAAAGCATTTTTATTGAGACTACTAGGAAAATGGTAGTGCCCAACTCTATCCTAGAGAAAATGGTTTTAAAAAAATTATTCAAAGATGAGGCTGGGAATTTAGCTCAGTGGTTCCAACACCTGCCTCGAAAGCACAAGGACCCGAGTTCGATCCCTGGTACCAAAAAAAAAAAAAAATTACAAAAAAATTATTCAAAGGAAAAAAAAAATGATTTAAACTGCTATGATAATTGGCACAAATGAGGTTCCCCTGAACCCAGTGGCTACAGCCTCAATTGCAAATCTTACCAATTGGATTTGGTAGGGCAATACCAGACCAAGTAAGTCAAACAAAATCCAGGCAAATGAATTCCTAAATGACTAATCAAAACCAGAGACTCTATGTCTCTGCCAGGAATGGAATTGGTGCTGTGGTATTGGGTCATTGGCTCAATAGTAAGAGCTCTCAGGAGAGGGTGGTATGGCTCAGCATGTGCTTAGCACGTAAAGTCCTCAGTCCAGTTCCAACCACTCTCCAGCCCCAAATAGCTAAGAAAGAACCCTTGGGGCAAAGGCTCTTATGCCCCAGAAGGAATAGCCAGAGAGGGAAGAATTTATCCAAGCAAAATTCCTTGGGACAAACAATTGTAAAGGGATCTGTGCAAAAGACAACATTGAGAACCTGTGAATCAGGGCTCCCGGCCCATGCTCTGTGCACCACGGTGAGGGTCCCGGCCCTGGGAGGGCTCCTAGCTGATCACAGCCATTGTGCTTCATCATTGTCATTCTGCATCTTGAATCCTTCTTCCCTTCAAAAGAATGGGGCACAGAAGAATGAGATGGAATGGGGGCAAAGGCAAGCCATGTAAAAGGGCCCCTGGCCCTTTAAGCCTTTAACAAGTGTTCTTTCTCCTGTTTTGACTCTGTCTTTGAGACCTACAGACAGGTTGCAGGGACAGTGACTCAGTTGCAACAGGGTGCCTTCAGGAGGTGGCCGATTCCAACAGCTCCAGTTCTCAGGGTCTCAAAATTCTCTGCAGGCTCAGCAGATCCTTCAGAAGCCCAACCAAATTGTACTGTTGAAGCTTAGAAAGAATGGCTGTTCTTTCCATTATTGTTTAACCTAAGTTCCCAGTGGTGTGTCCCTGTGACTTCACCTCTGAGAAGCCTTAGCAGTTCCACTCACTGCTGTGCCAAGTTTGGTCAGTCTATGCCACTAGGCTCCCAGGATGGCACCCGGCTTAGTCCATTTTCTGCTGCTATAACAGAATACTAGAGACTGGGTAATTTATAAACAATAGAAGTTCATTTTGCTCATGGTTCTGGAGGCTGGGAAGTCTAAGAGCATCTGGGGAGGGCTCCGCACTGCATCATACAATGGCAGACATGCAAGGAGCCCATGCAAAAGGAAGGAGCAAGAAGAGGCTGAATTTATAACAAACCACCCTTGCCATCACTAACCTATTCCCATGATAATGACATTAATAACTTCTTAAGGGTCCCATCTCTTAACACTGTTTCAATGGCAGTTAATTTCAAGGCGTGTTGGAGGGAGCACTCGAGCACTGCAATGCCCAAGGTCATCTTGGCATTCTGTCACTGTCTGCCACAAGCCTTCTTAGGAAGGTGTGCATTTTAGGGGAAAAAAAGACAGTAAGGGCTGGGGATTTAGCTCAGTGGTGCCCTGGCCGCCTCACAAGCACAAGGTCATGAGTTTGATCCTTGGTACCAAAAAATAAATTAATAATAATAATGTTTAAGAATTTAAAAGAAAGGGGCCGGGGATTTTAGCCCAGTGGTTCCGTCGCCTGCCTCGCAAGTGCAAGGACCTGAGTTTGATCCCCAGTACCAAAAAAAAAAAAAAAGAATTTAAAAGAAGGGGCTGGGGATTTAGCTCAGTGGTTCCGGCGCCTGCTTCAAAAGCGCAAGGTCCCAAGTTTGATCCCCAGTACAAAAAAAAAAAAATTTTTTTAAAGAAGAAAGCAGGAGCCAAAATGCCCAAGAATGTCAGCCAGGAATGAACACATGTAATCATGCTCTTGTTCAACCTTATCTAATGGAGAATCTCCCCCTGAACTTTCAAAGAAACAGGCAATGAATCCACAAGTTGCTCAGAACTTGGGCCAGCTGCATCTGCCCCTGCTATTTTTAGTCTTATTAAATTAAAACACTAGTACTTTTTGGCCCTTAGAGCAGTTTCCACATCAGGTCAGGATCACCTGAGAAGCTTTTTGTTAAAAGATTTTTTTAGGAAGATACCTGGCCCCAGCCTCAGACCAACCACACCAGACTCACTAGGATGGGATCCAGGCATTTATGTAAATGCACCAGGCTTGGGGAAATGATCTCAGAGCAAAGCTTCCCAACACTTTTCATGCCATGACAGTTGATTGGCCACTGGGGATGAGGAGCTCCAGTCAGAAGTGACCAATGGCCTGAATCCCCAAGGATCTTGTTACACCTACTATCTATTCCAGGTAAGGGAACTTGGCCTAAGAAAACTCCATTTACGGTGTTCAAGTTTTAACACCATTTTAGTGCTATAAACCATTTGACTGACACTTCATTTGGGAAGTGGGGATAGCAGTGTAAGCCCGAGACAGGGCCTGTTCCTCTCCTGGGAGGAGGAGGGTTAGTGGCTTTGAATTTCATTCTCTGTTGGAAATCTGATACGGTCATAGAGTTGAGACCAATGTTTTCCTTGCCAGCCACTAGTGTTAATCATTATGTACATCTGTGCACTTTTTCCTCCTACATTGCTTCAGACTGACCCTCATTTAAATTTATTTCTTCTAGCTACCACTGTGTCTCTGATGTTGGAAGTGATATTTTTCCCCTCGAGTAGTAAGACTTGACCCGGTGATTGTCTCTTCCACTTCTTCTATTTATTCAGACTCCAAGTACAACTGTTCAGCTTCAGCTCCAAAAATATCCAGGAAATAATAGATGCTATTACGGTGCTCGTCTTCATCTTTTCTTGCTAAGGGGCCCAGAGAAAGACATACAATTACTAGCTTGTTAACTTGAGCCTTAAATTTTTTAACAAATTTCTCACAGACTTGCTACACGTAGCTTTAGAGGGTCAGGAGCTGACTTTTTTTTTTTTTAATGCCAATGTTAAGTTGTTTCACTCAGTTTAATCCCAACATCTGAAAAATAGATATTGTGTCCACTTTATAAATAAGAAAACTGAGGCTCAGAGAATCTAAGTAACTCACCCGGAGTTTCAGGAAGCCTAGGTTCAAACTCCAACACGTCCAACCCCAAAGATTGTGCTTCTTCCACACCAAGATCCCTCCTCCAGGTAAAGTTAGAGGAATGAACAGCTGTTATCTAACTTTTTTTTTTTTTGGTACCAGGGATCGAACTGTGGACCTCGCATTTGCAAGGCAGGCACTGGAACCACTGAGCTAAATCCCCGGCCCAACAGCTGTTATCTTTGAAAATTATTCTGAGAGATCATTTCCTCCTTCAGTGTATCTTGCTAAGCTCAAGGCTCATTGGCATTAGGAGCAGAGTACCATAAGGAAAGACTGGTAGGGGAAGGGCTTTTCACACCATGTTTTCCTGATCTGACAGAAGTCCACTCTCTGTCTTTTGGGGAGATTTCCCTCTTGGGCTGGAGATGTAGCTCAGTGGTACAGTGCTTACCTACTGCATACAGGGCCCTGAGTTCCATCCCTAGCACTGGGGGAAAATATTCCCCTTTGTAAACATTCCAAGAAATAGCAGATTGGTTGAAAGTTGCTTGGGTCTGGAAAAAATAAAAACTAACTATCCTACAACTGAGTAACATAGGAATGCATCCTAAAAAGAAAAAATAGTCATGGTCCCCAAAGAATACATCCACAGTCCCCTATGTGGGAAATACTCCTTTTCTCATTTTGTCCTCACCACACTAAACTTGGAGTTAAATAACTTGGTTCACACAACAGTTGCTGGAGTAGAAATTCAAACCTAGGGGTATCTCATTTCAAAACTTTTTCACGGCTGGGCATGGTGGAGCACTCTTGTGATCCCAGCACTGGGGAGGCTGAGGCAGGAGGATCACCGCAAGTTTGAGGCCAGCTTAGGCTACATAGTTCAAGGCCAGTCTGAACTGCATAACAAAACCCTGTCTCAAAACAACAAAAAAACAAAATAACTTCCCCCCTTAATTCTGCACCCAGAATCTAGAACACCACAGAGTTTCTCCCAGGCAGAGTAAAGAGTGAAATGTGTCAAACAGTGAAGGTTACAATAGCAGAAGGAGTGGAGTCCACTCATCACTTTTAGTTGTTTTATATGTTGGGATTCTAAGTAATAACTGCATTTGAAAAAGTAAAATGAGTTCTAAAGCTAAAATAAGTTTGCAATCTAATCCAGTCATAAAATGGAAACCCTTTATTGTCTTCAAATTGCAAATCGGTTGGTTCATTGAACATCTCTATTCCAGTTTCTGTTCAAGAAGTTGGAGGTCTAAGTTTCCCAAAACAATTCAGTACATGAGGAGCAAGCTAGATTTAGGGACAGTTTACCCGGTGCAGGTCATTGTTGCCATGTTGCAGCCCTTTAAGAATATTGGTGAGTCTGTTATCAGCATTCCTTGTAGTAAACTTAAGCTATCTATGGCCCAACTTGTATATTTTCAGTGTGGACCCAGATTACTGATGTTTCTTCATAGCCTGTGTCCAAAGAACACTGCACAAATCAGTGGATAGGGACAGTCACTAAAGGTATCCCCAGTTCTAAGACTGCAGGGCAACTGGAGTCCTCCAAGCCTCCTTCAGAGGAGAATGTTGACTCACTTGGCTTTGGAAGCCCTAGGTTCCTTGTCTCTCACTCCAGCATGTTCCAATAGTTACAAAGTGGGGTCCTCTCCAGTGTGCCCTTGCATGACCTCATTGAATGACTTTGATTAGAGGTTATCTCCATTTGCATTTGTGCCTGAAAGAACCATTTTGGACTGTATGACAGGATATTCAGTTACTGCCTCTTCTTACACTGAAATTGGGAACAGAGCCCAAGGCTGGGAACAAAGAAGAGTCACGACCCTACATCCTTCAGGCAGCTGCTAATCACTGAGGCCAGGTATTTCCTGGGGCCTGTGAGGAGATGGCCTCTCATCTCTTGCCCCTTCCCAGGCTGTTTATGAGTCAGAGGAGAGGAGTTCTTAGGGCCATCGCCATGGCCTTCTTGCCTAACTCTGAAGCCATGCAACATGAGTCTTCTGAGACAGTCAAATATAGAGATGGGAATGGGGCGTCTGGGCAAAAGCTATTTGCTGATCCAGGAACACACAGACCCTCCCTCAGCACTACCATCCTGTAAGACTGGTTAAGATTACTAAGTCTTCCCGGAAGTTTGGAGGAGGACATACAGGTTGGTTCCCAGACTTAGACCCAATTCATGCTTGCTGCACACCTGCAATCCCAGCACTCTGGGAGGCTGAGGCAGGAGGATCAAAAGTTTGAGCCCAGCCTGGGCAACTTAGGGAGACCCTGTCTCAGAACTTTTTAAATGGGCCGGGGATATAGCTTAGTTCAGAGACCCTGGGTTCAATTCCCAGTACAGGAAAAGAAAGGGAGAGAGATGAAGAGAAAGAAAAAGACTGCCCCCACTTCTTTTAGCTATAAATCAGGGCTTCCTACAACTCATTCTTCAGGTATAATAATTTGCTAGAAAGTCTCACAAAACTTAAGAAAACACTTTACTTAAATGTATTGGTTTATTATAAAGGATACAACATGGGCATAGCCAAATGGGAGAGACATCTAGGACAAGAGCCTTAGAGGCAGTGGAGTTCGTGGAGCTCCTGTGCCCTCTGTGGATGCTCTACTACAATAGTAGGAATCTGGACATGTCACCCAAAGGCCGGTGTGTTAAAGGCTTCTCCTCTTAGCTTGGCATTATGGGAGGTAGTGGAACCTTTGCGAGGTGGTCCTAGTGCAAGGCCTATTTTCCTGAAGGGGATATTGTTACCCTGGCCCCTTCCTGTCTCATTTGCTTCTTCCCCACCATGAAGTGAACGGGCCTCCTTTGCCTTGTGTTTTCACCATGATGTACCCATGATGTATACTGTGCCATGGCAGGGACAGGTGACCATGGACTACCTTTCTACTTACAAGCTATCTATCTCGGGTATTTCATCACAGTAACAGAAAGGTGAGTAACACACTCACCCTCCTAGGAAGTCAATGTGGTCCCAACTCAGAAGGGCTCAGAATCATTGACCTCATTGTTCGAAGGTTTATATAGAACTCAATCTCCAGCATTCCCCTCTGCACCCCAGGGGTTGGGCCTTGGACGGTAAGTTCCAGCCCTCTAAGCACTTGGTTGTTCTGATGACCAGTCCCGTCCTGAGGCTGTCTGGGGACTCTACCCCAAGTCACTTCAGTAGTATGAACTCAGGTGTGATGGAAGGGGCTCCTTTGGGTAGCAAAGACACCCGGTGTCAGGAAATCCAAGGGCTTTAGGAGCTCTGTCCCAGGAACCAGGGAGTCAAAGACCAAAAGTATTTCTCATTACATCCCAAGGACTGAATGGGAGAATGTGTCTTCAGTTCTCAGCACAGACTGGCATAGAACAAGCACTTAATAAACATTCGTTCAAATGGTTATTTTTCTTTCCTTCTATCCCTCACTTTCTTCTGATGACCTCCCTTGGGTTCCCCTTTGCCTTGGTCTTCTCCCTCACCCCTAGAAGGACATCCCCAGGTCTAGAAACCATAGACTATTAAATTCCTTTGTGGTGTGTGCTCAGATTTCCATTTTCATGCTCACTCTTTTCAGAGTAGTGAGTTTTGAGGGTCTCTAACCCTAAATTATAACTGAGCAGGGCACAAAACACACACTGAAGTGCTCCCCCCACCACGACCACTTTTTCTCCTTTCTACATGTCAGACACACCTCCCAGCCAGACTCCTAGAAGAGTCACTTTCCAGAGGAATGGCACAGATTGCTGAGTCTGTGGTACACTCTAGTGCCAAGAGCAAAGGCCTTCAAAGTAGCACTTTGGGTATTAACTGCTAACGAAGCAAGAATTGGCTCTTCTGGCTGTAATTTACATCTCGGGTTTTGGGGTTTTTTGTGTGTTTTTTTTTAGGCTGGTGCCTCACCGTTGTCCTTTTAAGTAAAGTTTAAGGTCAGTTGTCAAGTATATGCTGAAAACTACTGAGTTTGTTTTTTAACAACTTCATGGAGCTATAGATCAGATACCATACAAGTCACCCGTTTTGAGTATACAGTTATTTTCCCGATATGTGTAACCATCACTGTAACCAAACATAAAATATTTTCTCCACCCCAAGAAGAAACTCCATACACTTTAGCTATCACCTCCCAATCCCTTTACCTCCTCTCGCCTCCAACCCCAAGGCAACTACTAATCTACTTTCTCCATACATTTTCCTGTTCAAAGCATTTTATATGAATGAGATTGTGTAATATTTGGTCTTCTGGGACTAGCTTCTTTGAAAGCTTCTTGGCTTTTTCATGTGTATTCCTCTTAGGATTCAAGTTCAGGAAATCCTGTGCTAAATTGGGGGCTAATTTTATCTGGTTGAAATGGCCATTCAGTGGAGGGGAGAGAGAACAATATCTGTAACACCTTAGAGTCTTCCAGTTCCAGAATGCAGGGTGGGATCTAATGTATGATATGCACCCTATTTCTTCCTATTTTAGGTCTGAGCATTATGGTTATATAATGTAGCAATTCCTGGCTAGGGCTCCTGCTTAGTCCTTTTTCATTTAACATTTATCAAAAACTTCTAATTTCAATTAACAGGGCAAGTCCCTGTTAGTTATTTGTGGTTGAAATTGAAAGCATAATTAATCATGGAGATGCTATATCTCGGTGAATGTCAGCTCATAATACTGCCTCCGAGATGCACGTGCTGCTCCTGCTGGACCAAGATCTCCAGGGGGCTTCTCTTTGCACCTTCTAGGTGTGAGATCAAGCGTAACCCATCAGGGGACACAGTTTTACATGAGCTGCATTGAGGAGGAAGCCCTGAGTTACCTTTGTCCGCCGTGTCTCAGGGTAAGATAGTGGGGCCTGCCGGTGTGCTGACCCATGGAGGGAAAGCCCTGTAAAGATTGTGTGTCAAAGGGAAGGGGTGGCCAGTCAAGGCCATCCGGCCCCAAGGAAACAGCTCTGACATGAGCTCAGTCCAGTTTGCTCTTGGCCGACTCTGGGGAGGACCAGCAGCATCCAGAGCCAGAGACTTCATTGTGGATCCATTGATCAGCTCCTGCCAGGAACTCACAGCCCCACATGCCTGCAGCCATCCAGGTGCTGGGCTGGAGGAGCTGCATAGGCCCCATCAGGCAAGAGCATCACCTTGAACGCACTTCAGTGTCCACCGAATGGATCCAGCTATGTACAGCTACTGGGGTCCAGGCTCTCCTAGACTGAGTGAGTGAGAGTAATGAAGAATTACCAGGCATCTAGAAGACTGGCCTTGTGAAAACCTCTCTGACCGTATTATAGGTTTAACTGTGTCTCCTCACAAAAAAAGATATGTTGAAGTCCTACCCCTAGTCCTTCAAGTGTGAACTGGGATTGTGTATGTAGGATAGGACCTTTACAGAGGTAATCAAGTTACAGTGAGGTCATGTCGTAGACCCTAATCCCATAGGATGGATGTCTCTATAAAATAGGGAAATTTGGACACGGGGACAGACTAGCACAGAGGGAAGGTCACGAATATACATAGGAAAGATATCTTGAGGTCTCTGCCAAGTAAAGTAAAGCTTCTGTAAGGCAAGGGACGCCACAGATTTCCAGCAAGCTGCTGAAAGCTGGCAAAGAGGGAATCAGCATTGATGACACCTTGATTTTGGACTTCTAGCCTCCAGAACTATGTGTGAGACAATAAATTTCTGTTTTCTATGTCGCCCAATCTGGAGGAATGCTAGCAAAAGAACATACCCAAGTTCCCCCATAGGGAGAAGTGCTCTCCCCACTCCCAGTTTGGAAAATTACTAGAAGGAAAGGATAGCACATGTCTGGGTATGGTTCTTAATGCTTTGAAAAAAGCTTGTAATGGGGGCCGGGGATTTAGCTCAGTGGTTCTGCCGATTGCCTCGCAAGCACAAGGACCCGAGTTTGATCCCCAGTACCAAAAAAAAAAAAAAAAGCTTGTAAGTCATTTTAAGGTACTCAAAGTCAGCTAGACAAGGTGATATGTGCCTATAATCCCAGCACTCAGGGGACGCTGAAGCAGGAGTATCACACATTTGACGCCAACCTGGACTACATGTGAGATCTTGTCTCAAAGGGAAAAAAAAGCACAAAGCCTGATTTTGAGGCTAACCCATCCTGCCCTGGGAGGTGGCTTCCCAGCAGGGTCACTGTGCTCGGGACTCCATGCTTGGGTGGTTCCCGATGTCCTAAATAAAGTCCCTTCAGGGAACAGCTCACGGTCAGGGCAATCAGCCTTACTCTCCACTTTTGTCCTTTTGGAACATAATATTTTTCTTGCCTCTAAAACCTAAAAGAAAGAGGGAAATAAATTGGATCTGAGCACTGAAGACTGTCACATGCTGTCTTAGTTACTTTTCTCTCGTTGCTTCAACAAAACACCTGACACCCAAAGTTAAAGGGAGGAAGGGTTTATTTAGCTCACAGTTGGTAGAAGTTTCAGTCCGTAATTGGCTGCCTCCAAGGCAGGCAGGGTGGCATGGCAGACAGGCATCACAGAGGAGAAACAGTTCATGGCAGGCAGGAGTAGCAAAAAAAGCAAGGGACCTTAACAGCTTCTTTCTGCCCCTTTTATATTTTATCTAGGCTACCCAGTTTAGGGCAGTGCCAAACCAATCAGTGGACTGATTTAGTAATCACACACCTTAATCCCAGCGCCCTTAATCCTAGCTCTGCATTGTGAATCAATCACACACTAGATCCAGCCACCTCTGAAAAAGCCCCACCTATGACCAAATGAGGCTTTGGGGGAACAGCCAGACACAGCCATAACAGGTACTTTCAGGCATGTGTCACTCTGGGAGGTTTCCTGTGCATTGTGCACCTTCCCTGCGCCATGTTGAGCTGGGAACTTTGTCCACTTTTGGTTTTTTGTTTTGTTTTTTTGTGTGTGTGCCCGGAGAACTTTGTCAACATGATCTAATCTAAGCCTTGCAATGACCCCACAAGAGTGTTGTCATGAGCATCATTCCACAGGGAGGATGCTGGAGCTCTCCTGAAAGACTGTGCCCGAATTTCAGATAACATTGTCCTGTCCTCGTGGCTACAGAGGTTGTGTCTTCAATCATGTGGATTGCAATAACAGAATACCACACACCATGTGGCTTATAGGCCACAGATGTTTATTTCTCACAGCTCTGGAGGCTGAGAAATCCAAGATGGAGGCTCTGGCAGATCTGGTGTCTGTTGAGGGCCAGTTCTTGGTTCATAGATGGCACCTTCTTGCTGTGTCCTTACACAACAGACAGGATGAAAGGGCTCTCTACATTCTCTTTTCCAAGGGCTCCGATCACCTTCCAAGGCCCGCTTCCTAATACCGCCACGTTTGTGATTAAGTTTCAACATGGGGTGAGAGTATTCAGACCATACCTTCCTGGTACTGATGGTCTGAGAGGATTGTAGGTAAGTTGCTGATCATTTCTGAGCCGGTTCCTCATCTAAAACACAGAGATAAGCTCGGGTCCTGAGTTGAATCCCTGGTACCAAAAGAAAAGAAAAAACTAGATAAAACACAGAAATGATATTTGTACCTAAAAGCAGTGGCTGGGCCTTGGCTGTACATTCACATCACCTGGGAGCTTTAGAAAAGCTGGGTGCGCAACTGCACCCAAGCCCATTTGGATCTGAACAGTGGAGCTGTGACCTTGCTTTGTCTGTACCTTCTCCCCAGAGATTTTTCTCACAGCTCTGGACACCAGAAACCCAAAATCAAGGTGATGAACTAGCCTTTCCTCTTCCAGCTTCTGGTGGCTCCAAGAGTTCCCTAGAGTGTGGCCGTACAACTCCAATCTGCCTCTGTCCTCAAATGACCTTCTTTTTGTGTCTTCTCCTCTGCCTCTTAGAAGGACATTTGTCATTGGATTTAGAACCCATCTATGTAATCCAGCATGATCTCATTTTGAGATCTTTAGCTTAATTACATCTGCAAAGACCTTTGTTCCCAAATGAGATCATAGTCCTAGATTCTAGGGGTGAGGACTCAGACATATCTTTTGGAGATCACCATTCAACCCACTGAAGAGAACTCTCACAGTGTTTTCTCCCGGCACTGGTTGAGCTCCAGTAGTTTTGAGACTAGAATCTCTCATTTATAAACCTCATTTTTAAAAAGAAAGTTTAAAATATAAAACAACCCAGTTTTTTTATTTAAAAAAAAGATAAGTGAGATAATGGAGTTTGAATCAGAACCAAAATACTGTAGAAGCTATAAAAATATAAATCAAAAATTTATTTGAAAACTACACAAAAACAAAGAGGTTGTAAGGAAAGTCAGCTGATGTGTGAATGGAGCAATTTAGGTACTTATCTTCAGAAACTCAAGTGAGAAAATGACCAGGCTATTCCAGATAAAACATGCTGGTTTCATCCGTCCATCTTTTCTTCTTCTTTTTTTTGGTACCGGGGATGGAACTTGGGACCTTGCTCTTGCGAGGCAGGCAGTGGAACCACTGAGCTAAATCCCCCGCCCCCTCCACCTCCCCCCTCCCAGCTCCATTCAAATGCATTCAACTGAATGTTCATTTCTGGCCTGGAGTTTGATTAAAGGTGTCCTTTGGTAAACCCTTCTCCCTTACGCCCCTCCAGCTCTTTGAATGTGAATCTCTAATTATAGGCCATGTTTGAGTTATATTAGATGAAATCAACAGCTGTAGATATGACACCAGTCTAGCAAAAAATCGACACACAGTTGCCATAAAAAGCCCAATTGTTAATTGTTTCTTTGGCGTCCAGCTATAACAGCAAACACCCTTCTTCTGTTTAATATTAAAAGTAAATGTCATGGAAAGAAAATTGGGCTAGAATTAGGGGAAGCTGCCTATCACCAAAAGCCTGTGATTTAGGAGTGAGATATTTCATTGCTCTTAGGCCTCGGTGTCCTTATCCACAAAGTCGAGGACATAAAACCAAATGATTACTTTCAGCTTAAAATTCTATCCTGAACCCTGAAAACACAATGTACTTCTCATTTCCATCTAGGCCTTTTTTGCAACTTTATTTTTCAGTAACCTAAACTAATGTTATAATTTCCTGGTATGATTGAGATTTCAGCTGAGCAAGCCATACTGTACTTTTCTGGTCTCAGTTTGAAGTTTGCTGTGAGGTCTGTCATTCTCAGCTGCTTTAGAAACGCAATCCACCAGGCTTCTGCCTTTAAGACTTCAGACTCTTGTTTTATGCTTGAAAACTATGGAATGGACATGAATATCCTGGAGTAGGTACCATTTCAGTCTCAGAAGTTATTGGCTGAAGAAACAAGCTAAATACAGTCCGTGAATGAGCAGGTTCGAGAGGGGCACGATCAGCATGTCCAGGTACAATTTTCTGCAGGCCTCTTGCTCTCGCTCTCCCTCACAGTACACGCTCTGACGGCTGTGAAGGCAGCTCAGGCCAAGGCCCTGGTTTCATTTCATTTCCTGTCTCTCTGCAGCCTGCCCACCTTGTTCTGCTCACCGAGATTTTTGTCTCCAGCAACTCCAGGCTTCTGGGTGCTTCGGCCTCTTGCTTTCCTCTGCTTTCTGGCTCTGTCACCATCCTTTACTTACCCAGTTGCTAAGTCAAATAAGATAACCTCCACCCAGGTTCACAAGAATTTGCCCATCAGCATTCTGGTCAGCCACAGACAGAGCAGAAGCCCTGTCCTCCAGAGCAACAGACGGCTGTGCGGGTTTAGTCGAGAGCAGCCATCATTTGCCCCATGGTGGGAAAATCCAAAGACAGATGAAGAAAGAAACCAGTTTTCTCTGTTTAACTCTAGCTGCTGCATTTTAGTTCACAAGAACAAACTGGGCAGGTATGAATTTCCTCATTCACAGCTCTCTGGCATATGGCTGGTGGTAGGAATGTTGAGTATGTTCTGTGAAAGAACAAAGCGTCATTCATTCTCTCCATCGTTGGTGATCAACGTCATACATCTGTTTTGTTACCTCTTGCTGGAGAACAATCTGCCCCAAAATTGACTAGTTTAAAACAATCCTGATACTTTATTTCTTTTTCTTTTTCTTTTTTTTTTTTTTTGGTACTGGGGATTGAACTCAGGACCTTGCGCTTGTGAATCAGGCGGCAGCACCACTGAGCTAAATCCCTGGCCCACCCATACTTTATTTCTTACAACTCTATCATCTTGACTCTGCTTCACTGGGCAAATCATCTGCTCTTCCTGGTGGGCGGCTGGACTGAAATACCTAAGATGGATTTTCCTTCCTGTGTCTCGGCTGGATTGGCTGGGACACCTGAGGCCTTTTGTTTTGTTTTGTTTTTGGTACCAGGGATCGAACTCAGGACCTTGCACTTTCGAGGCAAGCAAGGAGCCACTGAGCTAAATCCCTGGCCCATCCGCTTTCTAGTTTTCAGCTTTCAGCTTCTGTTAGTATTTAAACTGCTACAGTGTCTCTTCTGCTATATTCTATTGGCCAAAACAAATCACAGACCTGTCTAGATTCAAGAAGAGAAGGAAAGTTCCAATGCAATGAGGGGAAGAATTGGTCATGGTCATCTTTGGAAATTACCATAGTCTGTCTAGTGATACAGCTTTTGATTTATTGGTCTTCTCATTCTATTCTTTTTTTTCCATAAAATTAACATCCTATTTAATTTAAATGCAAAAATCTACATAATTGATATATCTAGCTTAATGAATTTGGAGACCAATGTATACCCATGAAACAGTCACCACAGTTTGCCATAAACCTATCCAGCATCTCTCAAAGTTTCTCCTGCTCTCTTATGTATTATCATTATATAGAAAACACAATGTAACACGTGGGTCCATACCCTGCCAGCAGAGCAAACTCAGTAAGCATGTGCTTAGCATGAGGACCATGATGGGATAACTTTTAAGTAAAAAGAACACCAAACTCAGAGCTGGGCCACATCCTGAAAATCCTACTAAGGCAGTGCATAGGATTTTACTAGACTGTGTGTTTGATGGGTCTTACTATGTAGTCAAGGCTGGCTTTAAACTCACTATATCACCCAGGCAGGCCTCAGGCTTGTGGCAATCCTCCTGCCTCAGCTTCTCGAGTGCTGGGATTACAGGCGTGCATCAATGCACCTGGCTGTGTTTTTTTATTATTAAAATGTTTTTGATATATAATTCATATGTCATAAGGTACAATTCAGTGGTTTCAATATATTTATGGAGTTCTGAGCTATCACATTAATCTAATTTTAGAACCTTTTAATCAACTCAAAGGAAACACTGGCCAGTTGTGATGGTGCACGCCTCTAATCCCAGCACCCAGGGGGCTGAGGCAGGAAGATTGCTTCGAGTTTAAGGCCAGCCTGGGCTACAAAGTGAGTTCAAGACCAGCCTGGACTACATAGCGAGACCCTATCTCAAAAAAAGAAGAGAAAACATTATCAGTCATTCCCTGTACCACTTCTTCCTCCTGCCTTAGGCAACCACTAATCTACATTTTTTCCACAGATTTGCCTGTTGTGGACATTTCACATACTGGCAATAGGATCACCTAAATGGAATTGTACAATGTGGCCTTTAATGACTGGCTTCTTTTATTTAGCATCACGTTGTTTGAAATTCACCTGTGTTGGAGTATGCAACAGTACTTCGTATCTTTTTAAGGCTGAAAGATATCCAATTGCATAGATATACTGCATTTTGTCCATCGGTCGATGACATTTGAGTTGTTAGTTTTTCTTTTTTTCTTGTTATTATGAATTTGGACACCCGTGGCCAAGTTTGTGTGGGGATACATGTTTTCAATTCTCTCAGGTAAATATCTGTAAGCGGAAGTAGTGCGTTTAATGGTAACTCTGTTTAATCTTCTGAAGAGCTGCTGAAGTGCTATCCAAAGTGGCCACTCCATTGCACATTCCTATCAGCAATGTATGAGAGTTCGCGCTTCCTTTGTCAACACTTATTACTGCACACATACTATTTTTAACTAGTAAGTATTAACTTACTAGTAAGTCTTACCGGTATTGACTTATTTATTTTGTTTTTGGGGGGTTTTTTTGCTTTTTGGTACCGGGGATCGAACTCGGGTCCTTGTGCTTTCACAGAAGGCAGCAAAACCACTGAGCTAAATCCCCAGCCCCTAACTTACTTATTTTGGCTAACAGGCTGCTGATGCCCCAGCCACGTATGTGTGATGGTTCAAAAAAGGTTTAGGCATTCATCCCACAAGCATTTATTCAGCATCTATGGTATACCAGGACTAGGGCAGTGGGATCCACTGCACTCCAGGAGGTCCGGTCTCGTGGAGGTAGATGAGCAAATGGTGATCCCAGTATCACCTGCCTGGAGGCTCAGAGGTGGCTTGGGAGCAGAAGGGAGGAGTCCTCATTCTGGGCGACACAGCAAAGGGTCCTTGAGAGGTGACGCTTGAGTTCAGTCTGGAAGGAAGAAAAAGAAGAGAGAGTCAGAGAGGAGGGTAGGCTGGGGCAAAGGAAGTTCAGCAAGTGGAACTAACACCTGCCTAGAAAGTTCGAGAACTTGGGGGCTTTGGAGAACAGGGCTCCTGGGAGCTTCCTAAGGAAGGGACTGTGGCATTGGCATGGTGGTCTAGAAAGATGTTGGAAAGGTAAGCAGCAACATAAAGGGCCTAGTATTTCATGCCAAGTATTTAATTTTATCCTAAATTCATGTGCTGTGGATGGATTCTGAGGAGGGAGTGACCCAGTCAAGACTTCTTTGGGAGGTCAGCCTGGCCACAGAGCAGTAGTGGGGGGTGGGGGCTCTGCCTGGACCTTGGTGAAAGGCTGGCGTTGGCCTAGTGTGGGGATGGGGCCTGGAGGTGCTCTGTGCCTTCTGGGGGAGCTGCAGTCCTGAACATGGTAACCCTGGCATAGAGGTGCTTACAGAGCAGGCCCATGCCCGGTGGCACAGATGGCCCCGCAGACCTGGCCAGACCTGAATGAAGACTCCTGCCTTTATTCCTGAGCAGCCTGCTCGGCCCCTCAGATCCAGCCCTGAGCCACAGTCTGGTCTGAGATAGGAGGCCTATGCAGTCACAGTCGCCTGGTTTCAGGTTTCATGTGGTCCACACAGGGGCCCCAGGGCTCTCCTGGGAGGGAACCAGCATTTTCTGCTTTATACTGTCTTCTGCTGTGTGCCCTGGGCTCTTTGCCTCCTGGGGTTCTGTATCCCCAGCACACACGAGGCCCTGAGTGGCTTCAGGTCTTCTTTACAGTAATGAATATTATACCTATATTTTAAAACAATTACTAACATTTTTGTATTTGATTAATTTATACATTTCTTTTGAAGTATCTCAAAAAATAATCCTGTAGGGTCAGAATCAGCCAACTTCCATGGCAGTCATTGAGCAAATATTAAAAGGTTAAACACTTTTTTAACCCCTTTTTATCTTTTTCATTTCATAAATCTTATGTGTAAAACTCTGGAGATTTTACATATTACATTCAGATTAACCTGTAAGGTCATAAGTAGGTACGTGCTTACCTTTGTGGATTTTTTTTGGTACTGGGGATCGAACACAGGACCTTGTGCTTGTGAGGCAGGTGCGGTGCCACTGAGCTAAATCCCCGACCCAGCTTTGTGGATTTTTAAAGTTATCACTGAGCAATTGTTCAAGGTTAGTGAACTAATTTACACTCTCATTAGTGAGCTGGACTCTTCTTTTTAAAAAATGTATTGACCCACCTGGGTGTGGTGGTACATACCTTTAATCCCAGGACTCTGGGAGGCTGAGGCAGGAGGATTGCAAATTTAAGCCCAGCCTGGACAACTTCACAACTTAACAAGAACCTGTCTCAAAAATAAAAATTTTAAAAAGGACTGGGTAGTGGTGATTCACTCATAATCCAAGATACAGGCAGTGGGGCTGGGAAGCAGCACCGGCTATTGAAAAGTATTGCCCAGTCAGTGGTGGGTTTTCTGGGGTCAAAGATGTATATTCCTCTACTTCTACACATGATGATATACAGCAGAGCTTCTTTCTCGCTGAAACATTAAAATACTTGTATCTGCTGTTCTCCAGTGATGACCTTTTACCTTTAGATCACTGGGTGTTCAACACAGAGGCTCACCCTCTGCCTGTGTCACATTTAGCCAACACCACACTTTCAGGTACTGCTGTTCGATGAAAGCAGCTGCAGAAGGACCATTCTTACCTGTGCTTTGTTTACATGGACTACTACAGAAACAAGTATGGAGAGGTGTCTTTTGAAAACCTGGACCTCTAAGTCAACATGACAGGGTGAAACTCTTCCCTGCAAGACTTTTCAACATGTAGATATACCAACTTTGAAATTATTCCATTTTATATCTGACCAAAACATGTTCTGGTACGTATAGGACAGAGAGAGAACTGATGTACTTTGATTCGTAATTTCATGGTCACTTAAGAAACGATGCCCAAGGGGCCGGAGATTTAGCTCAGTGGTTTTGCCACCTGCTGCGCAAGCGCAAGGACCCAAGTTCATTCCCCGGTAGCAAAAAAGAAACGATGCCTATCACTTCTGTATTATTAGAGCAAGCCAAGAACATAGAGCACCTTGCAGGAGTTGAAGATGGCCTTTGGAACCAATTATATATTTGTTTCCTCCCACAGTGGAGCAGCTTTCAAATCAAATATTTACATACTGTTTATCCCTTTTTTCTCCATTTTAATAATGGAATAAACTAAGATAAACAAGAACAAAAGAACAGTGTGACTGCAACAGTAACAAGAGGACTCAAAAAAGGAACAGAAGTACCCAAACCTTGTCTGAATTTCCATGTTCCCCATTGGATGACTAGACTGGCAACCATTTCAGTCCCAATCTATTTCATTGAAATTTCTTAGTTAAATTTAATTCACTGGGGGCGTGATCTCACAAAGAATACTCTTCAAGTCTTTCTCTCCATATGGAACCATTGAAATTGCTATTTATCATCACCAGTGCTTAGGAGCCTGGGTTTGGGGTTTTGTGCACATAGTTCAGTCTGGTGTAGGTAGCATGACAAAAAGTGGGGAAAATGCCATTTTGTTGCCTTGAAACTTGTTCTTTCTTAGTGAAATCCTTGGTTTTGTTGGTAAGAGATTATTTTTCCAACCAACAAGTCTGCCAAGTAAAATTATTCACTTTAATTTCATTAAAAAGTTGAGTCACTCAACTTACAACTTTGTGACTTGACAAAATTCATTCTTCTGTTATGCAGCATTGAATTTGCCACGATAAGCTGAATTACTTTCACAACTTATTAAAACAAAAACACAGTGAAACTTCCTTAAACATTCTGTCTGGAACAGGGACGGGAACCTTTATCTTACCAGGTGAATGAGCTATTCATAAGTATATTTTTTAGTTTACCCAAGACTATTTATAGAAATGCAAAACATTAGAATAGCTTCAAAATAATTTTCATTGATAACTGTAATTAATTTATTACACTAAAAATGGAATTTATCTAAAGAACTTTCTCTTGCCCTCAATAAATTTTTCATTGATACTTCTTTAAAAAAAAAAAAAAAAAAGGACTGGGTATGTAGACCAGTGTGAAGACCCTGGATGCAACCCCTAACAGTGAAAAAAATTTTTTTACTGACCATAAGAGCAAGGAAAAAATATAAAACAATGTCATAAACTTTGCTTTAAATCATTTTTCACATTTACATAGGTGAGCTACCCTTTTACCAATTAATTATAATTCCCCCTTTTTAAATTAAGATGTCTTATAATTTTCTCCCCAATGCTAGGCTCAAACCCAGGGCCTCACATTGGTAGGCAAGGGCTCAGAGCTGCACCACAGTCCTCATCCTTTTAAACAAGTATACAACTCAGTGGGTTTTATTTATACTCAGAAGATCATAGAACCATCTTCATCATCCCCACAGGAAACACTGTAATCACCCCACAACACCGCCGTTCTCCCCCCGCCCCGGTCCCAGTCCCCAGCAATCAAGTACTGATCTACTTCCTGCCTATGGATTTGCCTATTCTGGATATTTCATATAGCTGGTTAAATTTTAATACGTCAATTTCTTTGCTGTATTTCTTCTAGGATCCTAAACACTTCAAGTCAGAGAAGACAGGCCGGGGTCAGTTAAGGGAAGGCTGGAGAGATAGTCATCAGCCCATCATGTGCTCCTACAAGCTGGTGACCGTGAAATTTGAAGTCTGGGGGCTTCAGACCAGAGTGGAACAATTTGTGCACAAGGTAGGTGATCAAAAAGCAGCTCCCAGCCTGTGGACAAGGTCACTCACTGCCTTTATTGTCAAGTTGGAGTACATGATGTACCCCCAGGGCATGGGGCTGAGCCAATACCACATAACTAACTGTATCTAAAAAACACTTTTTGGGTAAAAATTCATTTTATAAATGGGTTTAATTTTTTTTCCACTGCTATTTGTAGACATTGTACCCTATGTCTCTCATTCTGTGACCTCCATGTCTGTTGGGTAAGTTTATTTGGGAAGTGAGGCTTTCAAAATGTCCTTCCCTCTCTGGCGTCCAGCTAATCTGCTTCCAGGCAGAGGGAACTGGGTAGAGGCCAGCAGGCTTATCTGTGTGCACAGCACCCGAGGACGAGTCCCACACGGAAGATCTTGCCAACGTAGGCACCTAAGGTAGACAGTGCCCCACAAAACAGAACAAGAAGTCCCAGTTGTGCTACTGAACGGCACACCTCAGCATTTCTGCTCATGTAATAATTCTGTTACTAAAGAATGATTAACCACCCCGAACACAGATTTCACTTTGGCCAAACATTTTAATTTTGTAGCAAGAACCTACTTGGTGATGATTTAAGTTTTCTAACCTGATACTTCACATGGGAAAAAAAATAATGGAAAATGCAGTGTGGAGCGTTACCCTTCATAGCTATTCTCATTTCCGTAAAAATAAATACTCCCTAAGTAGTCTATGTATTCCAGATAGGCAAACTATCTGTTTATTTTTCCACTTAAAAGCTGATAAAGAGTAGCTTTTCAAAATTCTTTTGGGGGCACAGGAATTTTTACTTAATGCTCTGAGCTTTTTGTTATTTAGATGGATTTGTCTACTGACTGGGGGCCAATTCGATGATAGTATAATTCTTGAATTTAGGTCTATGGTCTATGGAATGGATTGTCTGTCCCTCAACTCCTCGAAACTTAGGCTGGTTGTAATGGCAGAGTCTGGGACAAATTCGAGAGCCTCGGTGTTTTCTTGCACACAGAAGTATGTGATCCTCTGCTGAGTTCCAAAGCCCATTCTGCCAGCCAGGAGTTAGAATGGGGTGAGACGCATGGAAATCAAATTTGAGACCTTTTGTTTTCCTTCTCTAACTTGGTTATTATGCAAGAAAACAATCACAACTTCCAGAAAATATTTTTGCAACCTCAGTTCTGTCTGTATCTGTTTCTTCCTTGACTTCCTACAAGCGCGCGCGTGCTCTCTCTCTCTCTCTCTCTCTCTCTCCTCTCTTCTTTTTATGGCTGTTTAACCCCACATCATCTCCTCTTACTAGGGTCATTATCAAAATGCATTTTATTTTCTCTCACAATCTGTATTTAGATTGCCACGTGGATCATTGTTTCTTTTCTCACAGATGACTTAAGCTCGTTTTGCGAATCCATTTCTTTAAAATGCCTGTAAGGATGATGCTTCAGTCACAAACATTCTATTGCCTGCTTCCAAATAAAATGAAGCATTATCTACATCCCCCAAAGATACCTGCTGTGGCCCAGGAGTTGCTAATGAGTATCTGAGAGTAGCATTTGCATGGGTTTAAGGAGTCAGGGATGCCATTCTCTGAACACTTTTGTTTGTGGGTGATTTTTGGTTTGTTTTTTTAGAATCTATTCACAGTTAAAGTGAAAAAAATTGTTCGAAAGAAGCCATTAGCACATTATTGAATTCTCATTTCCAGCCAACAGCTGTGTTGTGCTTTAATGTACTAGGGTATATTTACTGGTGCCTCAGTGCTGTTCTTTTGATTTCCATGAATTTGACACACTCAGCACTCAAGTGTGTATGGCTGCACATTGTTTCTTATATTCATTACGTGTTTTCTTCTTCCAAATCAGCAAAGCCTCACTAGATAGCCAGAGGCCTGGAGGAGTAAACGCTTCATTATAAATGCTTCCCTTGTCTACTAATTCACCGAATTAAAGTCCTTCATTGATGGAAACACACTGGAACCTTCCAGGAGAGATTTTTGACAATCACTAGATTTGTTTGGCAGGAATGTTAAAGGGAGACTCTTGAGTATCCAAGAAACATAAAAGAAGATATTTACACAAAAGATACCGTGAAGTAAAAGCACATGACCAGTACTACACACATAACACAGATGGTGTGTTTTATTTTCCTTAGCCTTCCATTGCCATTATGTATCCTATAAGAAACAATTTCATTCCTTTTGTCTCCAGTGAAGCTTAGCATTCCTATTATGTTCTATTTCAGTTCAAGTCTCTTATTTCATCTCTTTCAATAAAATAATGCTCTTTTTTCTTCCATTACATGAAAGTGAAGCCTAGAAGGATATTAACTTACCTCACACACTATATGTTGATTTACTTTTAATTGAATCAATATTGAGGATATTTCATCAGAGAAGAGGGAATATTAAGTGCTCTCTGCTTAGAAGTGACTTACAACACAGAAAAATGTTCTCCCCAGCCCCAGTACTAGGGATTGAATCTAGTACCCTAAGCTACATTCCTGGCCTGTTTTTAAATTTTGAGATAGGATCATCCTAAGGTGCTAAGTTGAGAAAAAGTGTTCTTGATTTCCAACATTTACAACCTCTGAGCACCAGCGAGACATATACCCTTCTACAAAGGAAAAGTATAATTCTAATTAAAGAGAAATGAAAAATCTCAAGGTGATTAGCCTAGAGACTCATTCAAATTATTGCTGTATGTTTGTTTTTTTGTTTTTGGTACTGGGGATTGAACTTGGGTCCTTGCGCTTGCGCAGCAGGCGACAAAACCACTGAGCTAAATCCACAGCCCATTACTGTATGACTATCAAGTAGTTGTCTTTAGTTTGAACACCCCCTGGCCTAACTCAAGTAAGATGAAAGGATTAATTTGCAGCAAGCATATGCGTGCAATGGAAAGAGATGGGGCTGAGCTAATGCAGCATTTGTGTACGTCCTCACATACAGCCAGAGGGATTGAGGAATCCATAACTGCCAAGATTTCCGGAATCGGGAATGACATATTTTTCAAAGAGTCATCAAACAAGGTATGATTTCAATGTCCTTTTGCTTTTCAGGTGGTCCGAGACATTCTACTGATTGGACACAGACAGGCTTTTGCATGGGTTGATGAGTGGTATGGTAAGTCAATTTCCCCAAAATAACTTGTAGAACAATTTCATAACATGTTGACTTGGGCTTTCAGTACATCTGGCTTCAACTGCTACCTAGGAAGACAACAACAAAGGCAGGTTACTGCTTCCTGTATTTGAAATAGCCCTGTCCAGGGAGCATAATAAAGATGTAATTATAGAAGCTTAATCTAAAATAGCCACAGAGCTATTGACTAAGTAGGACCTCAGTATACTTGATGCTTGCATCGTTGACATGAAGGGCTGTATCATTCTCTGTTGGATGGATTTCAAATCCATTCTAATTTATTCCAAACTTCAATTCAAGATCAAAGTTCCCTGAAGCATCATGTCAAGTAAAAGCAGTCTTTTGATTCAGAGAACACATGAAACAATCCCTTACCAAATATGCAGAGGTTCTACGAGTATTCAAGGTCAAACAGGCTAGGCGTAGGTGCCCCATTCACTCTAATTGAACTACTCTTCTGGCTTTTATTTTTAATGAAATGTGAAGAGTTAAATAAGTTCTGCACATTGTCAGTACATGAAAATAAGGCTTGCTGCATCCCATGATGGATAGACCACTCTTCCCAGACCCTCAGCACAATCATTTTGTCCCCTTGAATCTTCTGTATTACCAGAATTAGTCACAAGATAGCTGTGTCCTTGGCTATAAATAGAAATAAACACACCCAATGGGTGACTTAGGTTAGATCTGACTTTCAGGTCGATTGTCTAATGAAATGCTCTCCTCATTGGCCTTTTCCTAAGTCACTTTAAACTTGTTCCGAGTGCTGTATTTTGGTCCCTTTCCATCATTATTCCAGTATCTCCCTCCCTTTTCTTAGCAAAAGTACCTAATTTAAAGAAAAAGGATATGTTAGGAAGAAGGGGCAGAGACAGTGATGGTCATTAATGTTGCCAGCTGTTTCTGAGCCACATTTTTAAAGACAGGGTTCTGTAGACTATGGGCTTTTTTGTTTTGTTTTTCTCAGTTTCCCCAGATCTGCACCTTCTGAAAAATAAATGCCTCTTCCAGGGCTTGTCTAAATGCAGATCATTATTTATTCTCTCTTATCACATACCCCAGGATGCCACCCTAATTGACTAGTTGTCATGCTACCCTAACATGGCAAAGACCTCTCTATTTGTGCCGTCTTTTATGAGGCAGGTAAACAGAGTCTCCTGTGATTCCTTCCTCTGATCCTTAAACAAATACTTTTGAGTGTTTTTTTCTAGCTAACTTTTCTCAGATTTTCAGAGGGAGAATAGACTCCAAAAAAAAGTGAAGAATTTCTGGCCTCTCCTGTCTTGGACTCATGATGGTTTCCTGGTTACCAACACCAAGAAACTATCAAAAAGATATTCAAAGGATAGTAGTCTTGAACTGGTAGAAACTTGGCAAAGGGACAGGCACCTGAAGTGTCCAAAATCTGCCACTCTGAGGACCAGCAGACAGGGCACTTGGATGGGTTTCTCACTGGTACCCAAATGCCATTGAGGGCTTTTCAAAAAAGGCAGCAACAGAAGGACAGGCAGGTTCTGATCAAGGGGGCAAAACACTGCCAAGCTGTTCATCAGGAAAGGAGGTTTGATTAGAGACAGGATTTGGAAAGGAAAAACATGCGTGTGCATATCTGGTCAGTGAATGGCTGGATACAGAGGCTGGAGGCTGATTATTTTCTATCTCAGCTGACCGGAGGCAAGGAAGAGTTTTAAAGGCATTTAAGTAAGAAAGAGAGATGCTCATCTAATGTGTGCAAGGCCCCGGCTTCAAACTCTAGCACCAGAGAGAGACAGAGAGAGAAATTCTCCAATTATTATAGAAGACCAAATCTAGAATACTGTCTCAAAAGAAATGGAAGATTGCTAGCTGGAGACCTGTGAGAACACCTACCTGTTTACTTACAGTAGGTTAGGTGAAGGAGTCTCTTGATCCAAAAATCCTTTCTGTGCTGACAAGGGTGGTGCATGCCTGTGATCCCAGCACTATAGGAGGCTGAGGCAGGAGTATCACAAGTTAGAGCCCAGCCCAGGCAACTTTGCAAATTTGCAAGACTCTGTCTCAAAATAAAAAGAGCTGGAGGTATAGTCCAGTGTGATGGCCCTAGGTACTGTATATTAGTGCAAAAAAGAGTATAGCTTTAGTGTATGTAGATCATCAGGGTGCCTTGTACTCCTGTATCCACAGTCATAGCCCCAACCAAAACAGGCAGCCTCTTCACTCATCAGGGGGCTCTGAGACCTACACCCTCAATTTCCCATGAACTACTGCTTGTTGAACTGAGCTAGCCAGGAACACAGTGACTCCTTCATTACTTGATACAGAACTTCAGGAAACCAAATGAATGCAAACAGCCCCTGCCCTTCTCAGCCACTTATTCAAGGTCCCTGTTACCAAGGCCAAGGACCCACTGAAGGATAATCTTTCAGTTTGGGCAATCTGAATTTGTTTAATTTTCTTTGGTCGGTATAGGCCCAAAGAGACTCTCATTAGTAAACATGGGAAAGCTCCAAAGTAAAGAAACCCTTGCTTGTAGCTATAACTTCTTGCACTGGTTCTCAATAAGGTCCCTGGACCTGAATATCTGTTAGAAATGCATATTCTCAGACCTCCCCCTCCCCCAAACCTACCAACTCATAAACTTTGGGGTGTGTCTAGCCCAACTATCTGTGTCTTAAAAGCCCTCCAGATGATTCTGAAATTCTAACTTATAGCTTTGGCTGTAAGCCAGATAGGACTGCAAGGACGGTTTAATTAATTCAATCCAAATAGGTTAGTCTAGAAAAATCATAGATGTCTTCAGGGCCAACTGCTAAACTCTGATGCCTCGTGACAATTAAAGAAAAGCAGTCCTGGTAAACAGATGAGTTAGGAATGAAGGCACTCCTTCCGGGGACGCTCAGTGACTGCCAGGGCTTGGGGACACAGTTGAGCCCCATTTCCCTCCAGGACTGTGTGCCCTTCCGGCGCACACTCCGTACACCCTGCTGCACCATCCATGGCAGCCCTGGCTGTCTTCCTCTCTAATTACTCACCACCTCCAGTGCTTAAATAAAAGTCAAGAAAAGAGATATTATAGAGGATGGTGATCTTGTCTCACCCAAGGATCAATTTTGCATCTCTTCTGAGTTCCAGCCTTTGGCTGTCACAAAATTGTTTCCCTAAACAGATTTTATTCATTTCCCTAAACAGATTTTATTCTGCTCATGTTCATTGTAAAGTGTAACTGTTTCCATGTTGGAGAAGTTGAGTTTGTCTTTCAAAGCCCTGATTGGTCATTAGCTGCGAGCCTTGGGTCTCTCTGCATGACTAGAACACTAATCAGAGAAACAACAACAATTTCAGAAGATGGGGTGAGAGGGGCGGCAGATAAAAATAGCCAGCCCAGCTTCACTAAAGCATGGTTTTGCTTCACAAATCTGACAGTATTTTGAAAGAGAAACACTCAAGATTGCCAGAGGGCACCTATGACTGAGTGGAACCTCACAAATGTCTTTGAAAACTTAACTCTTCCCCGAAAAGTAAGGAAGGGCGAATTCTGGCTGATACAGATGAAACAGTCTCGTGAAAATGACTTGGAAATCAGCCTGGGATCCCTAGAGCAGGCCTAACAGAGAAGCGAGAAGTCTGCTAGGGACTGGCCTTAGCTGGCTGAGTTCACCAAGCCAGCATTTTCCAATGGCCCCATATTTCCTGAAATATGATTTTGGGTGTCATCACTCTAATGTAACATTTTACATATGTGTGCTTATGTTTATTTTTTTAGGGAGAGAACTCAGAGCTTTCCATCCGAATTTCAAAGGAATCTGTAATCCTTCTCTTTTACCCCTAATTAAGAAAAAAAAAACTACTGTAGATTATAGTTCTGGATTTTAGTGGTCTGAATTACATGGAAATGATATGCTCCAAACCTTATGGATAAGCTGCTTTCAATTTTTAAAAAAGGACACCCAAAGATTTTTGTAATGAGCATGTATCAAACCCCAGTGATGCTTCCCAAAGGATGGCCACCATTTTTCCAGAGCCAAAGGAGTATCCAAATCTAATTCATGACTTCTGGATCCTCCCTGACCCACTTGTTCAAGACTGTTGTTTTTATTTAGAGTGAGAAAAAAATGACTTCTATTTTGGCTGAGCCTGGAAATGGAGAAATGTTTATAGAAGAAAATAAAGTATACTGCGTCTTTGAATTAGTATGAGACTCTCCTTTTTAAAATTTTAGCTGCTCCAACTGTAACATACTGAAGGAAAATTCGTGCCTCCAGATGCTTTGTTCCAGACCATTTGTAGTATCTCTGTATGCTCAACTGACTTGTATCCTAAGGCCTTTCAAATATACCATCTCACTTCCTCTTTCTATGAAATCAACCTGCCTTCTTCAAAACTAAAATGATTAGGAGCTTGGCACCGTGGTACATGCCTATAATCACAGCTACTCTGGAGGCTGAGGCAGGGAGATTCCAAGTTTGAGGCCAACCTGGGCAACTCATCAAGACCCTGTCTCAAAAAATAAAAAGGGCAGGGACTGTAGCTCAGTAGTCACTGGGTTCAATCCCCAGTACCACAAGATAATAAAATGATTGCACTGAGAGGGTAGCCCAGTGCACCAGCTTAGCATGCACTGGGTTCTGGATTCAAGACATTTGATACTAAAATATATAAGTAAATAAAATTATTGCAAGAAAGATGAGGAGAAAATATTTGCAATATATGTACTTTAAAAAGGATTCATATCAAAAAAAAAAAAAGGATTCATATCAAAAAAAAAAAAAAAGGATTCATATCTACAGCATATCAAGAAGTCCTTTAAATTGGAAATCTAGTACCCCAATAGAAAAGTGGTGTTTTTTCGGGTTTTTTTTTTTTTTTGTACCAGGGATCGAACTTGGGTCCTTGTGCTTGCACAGCAGGTGGTGAAACCACTGAGCTAAATCCCTGGCCTGAAAAGTGGTTTTTTATAATGAATAAGTAAATCATAGAAAAAAAATGCAAATGGCCAATAAGCT